TCATTTAATTATTAGCAATGATCTCAGAACCACTGAGAAAGTCTGTGTCTTACGATCATCACACTTCTAGGACAGCAGAGTTGGGTGGTCCAACTGACAGGTGGACTACATTGGTTAAAATCCACTAGTTTCTCCATTGGTTTTCCGAAATCCCCTTTAACTGCTACAAGAAAGAAAAACAGGTGCTAGACCAGTAACAGTACCTATAAATGAATGAATAAATACAGCATGAATTACCCATAAACAGGAAAAGATATTTCAGTTCAGATCTGAAATTTATACATTCCAAACAAACCTACTTGTACCTAGGAATTAAAGGCAAACCTCTATCAGTGTTTCAGGCCTCCATAACATAATGACCACCAAAAACTGGGGAGTCTATCCTCTTGTCCTTCCTCAGCCCCCCCGGCGTAATCAAATCCTTTGGGTGCCAGTTCATCCCAAGTCAGTCCTTGCATTTTTTTCCTGTAGCCTCAGTTTTTAGCATCATACTTATTTCCTAAGAACTCTGTTCAGTGGTCCTTGCAGAACTCTGTAATCCCCACAGGACTCATTTTTAAAACATTCTTGTCAACTAATCAGTCTGCAGACAAAATAATGTATCAAATATAGAGATCTGAATTCTGTTCCAAAGTTCTCTTTAGTAGTAAGCTTAGTAAGGTCCTTTCTCTGGTCTGGTTTTCCCATTTGCCAAATCAGTGCAGTTGTTTTATACCAGCTCTAAAGACTAGAAAGTAAAATGAAGGTATAGTGTACATGAAAGCAAATTTTGAAAATATGCAAATACAAACCACATTAGTTGTAGTTTATCTCATCCTTACAAGTTTATATCAGAGAGAGAAAATTAATAATTTTATATTTACTTTGCTTCATAGGACACTAGACTTTTTTTTTTTGAGATTTTTTGCTACAGGGCACATGTGCTCACCAGAGAAAGAGAAATCACCCCCCCCTGGGGGGATAGCCACGGGCACGTACGCATACATGCCTGGCATGAGTTTATGCCACTAGGTCCAGAATTTGAACTGCAGTTGACTACGTGGGAGTTCAGTGACACAGCTGTTATGTCAGCTGCTGGTCCCATGTTTTTTCCATTATTAAATCAATATAGTCATACAAACGTTTTTAAAGTAATATACAGAATGAAACATTTTACTCTCCCAATTAACAAAAAAAAAAATCTGATCAAATACGAAAATTCAACTCTATACCAGGTATTAAACTATGTGTTTCAAAACAGTTTTGTAATTGAGATTTATTGGTTGTGTCAAGGATCAGTACAGACATTTCGATTTGTACCCAATTCTTAACATACGTACCAAAAATTTAAAAAGCCAAGTATAGTGATTCTTTTTAAGTTATTCCAGTGATGTTCCAGTTTCAAATTTGTAGGCAAATTTTCCTTAAGAGTATATTAAGAACCACTGTCTTCAGATGTTGAAAGCTGTTATGTAAGTCCCACCAAATCACAATTTAGTATCACACAGACTACATACTTCAAATTTCCAATCTTTCACAGCACATTAACAGAATTATTAGGAAAACTGGACTACCACGACCAAAGATGTTAGAGTGCACACAATTCTGACAGGGAGAGCAACAATCACAAAGAGTGGCTTTTCTTTAGGAAACAGTACTACTAAAAAAACATAATAGAAGTCATTTAAAATATTCAAGACACATTAAATGCATGACTGTGACTCCAAACTGCCATTTAGTATGCTTTGTATTTAGGATATAAAAACTACCCACCCGCCCCCACCTATGGAATGTTAAGCTGACACGTAAGAGAGTCAAAGCCTCCTATAAGTCAATATCCCACTATTTTCTGGTTGTACTGAAAAATAAACAACCAGTAAATGATTTCACCTCTTAAAAAAAAGCATTTACACTTAAAAAATGGGATGAGGTGGGATTCTCTCCTTCTTAAAAATGTTTCTAGAGCTACTAAAAAACTTGCATTTACAAAATAGTTGATAAAAATATTCCTCTGGATTGTACAAGAAGGGAGACAGGGACCATTGATAAGACATGGTATACGATATTACTCAGACTTGACTTCTTTCTCGCCTGCTTCATCAGAGGGTGGACTCTGCAAATCAAAGGAAAAGAACGATTTTTGTCAAGAATTTTGATGTAGTTGGCACTTATTACTATCAGGCCTTCAAAATCCGCATTTTATGTATATTCTGCACTTTTGCAATTTTGTTTACTCTTAATAAAATTTGCTATTTTAACCTCAATACTTGTGGCTGGCAGGTGGCATGGTGGTTAAGATGCTGGGACTTCCACATGACTGACTATAGTTAAGGGAAACAGAACATGGTGGCTTGCCATCTCACTACCCGCCCCCACCATCAAATTTAACTAGTGATAATGATAGGGGCCAGCAGGTGGTTTGGTGGTTAAGGCCCTGGACTCCCACATGGTCGACCATGGTTCAAGCCCTGGAGTTGGTGTCTTGCTCTCTAGTCATTCTCCCTTCACCGTGAGCTCACATGCACTATAGGAAAATGAGAAAATCAGCAAGCAATCCCTTCTACTGCATTCTTCTCTAGGGACCCTGGGCACACACATGTATCTGGCTTAAGTTTCAAGCCATCCACTGGGTCTGAGACTGAAACTGTGCTGACCATGTGGAAGTCCAGCACCTCAACCACTGTGCCACCACTGGTCCCTTTAAAGATTTTTTTAAAATTGAAGATTTTAAATTGGCCCTCAAGTAGTATCCAAATGATATCTAGTATTTCTAAGAGTAAGAAAACTGCAATGTACTTTACAGAAAAAAACATATGGACTGGGTAGTTCTGTTCAGGCAAGAGTGACAGTGCTGTTGGTTTTGAGCCCAATGTTAATTAACAACTGTCACGTATCATTTGATAGGGATACATTCTGAGAAAATGTGGTAATCTCAACGTAAGACAGGATAGCCCATTATATCCTTACAGAATAATTATCATATATGTGGTACATCATTAACAAAATGTTATGTGAGCCAGCAGGTAGTGTGGTGATTAAGGGGCTAGATGGTCAATTCCATGGCTAGAGTCCTGAACCTGGTGGCTTGAAAATTCACATTGGCATGTGTATGCATGCACAAAATCCTAAGAGGAGAATGAAGGACAAGAGATTGTGGCATAGTCATCTGCCCAGGAGTGATTTCTCACTTTCCCTCCCTCTCTGGCATGCCCTATAGCAAAAACAAAACAAAAAGACCTATGCATGAATTAAAAAATTTCTGCACCAAAATAAACTCATACTTTAATTCAATTTTTCCCTAATCTTTTTGATGTCCCTTCTTATCCTAATAGATTGTAACAGGTCTACTGATCGTGCTCGGAAAAAACAGAAAAAATTAGGCCCCAAAGTCAACTAAAGAAAAGAAAAATAGGGACCAGCAGATAGCTTAATGGCTATGTCACTGGACTCCTATGTAGTCAACCGCGATTTGCGTCCCAGACCCAGTGGCTTGAACTCACTCCTGGCGCATGTGCGTGCATGCCCAGGATCGTGAGAGGAGAATGGAGGAGGAGAAGGGATTGTGGCGTGACCATCCCCCCCGGGGGATGATTTCTTGCTTTCTGGCTCTCAGTCTCTGTCTGTTTGGCAAGCGCACGCGCCCTATGGCAAAAAAACTCTCCCAAATAAATAAATAAATAAAAAGAAGAAAGAAAAGAAAAGAAAAATAAAGGTTAAGGGCATGATGGTTAAGGGCACTGGACTCCCATAAGGCTGACTTGGCAGCTTGCTTTCTCACTTTCCCTTTCCATCTCTGGTCAAATTAAAATACATACATACATACATACATTTAAAAAAGTTAAAATAGGGACCAGCTGATGGCGTAATGGCTATGTCGCTAGACTCCCATGTTATCAACTGTGATTCAAGTCTCGGACCCGGTGGCTTAAACTCGTGCCAGGCATGTGTGTGTGCATGCCCAAGAACCCTGGAGGAAAATGGAGAAGGGATTGAGTCAAGGCCATCCCCCCTAGGGGCGATTTCTCGCTTTCAGTCTCTCTCTCTGGCAAGCACATGTGCCCTATAGCAAAAACCTCTCTCTCAAAGAGTTAAAATTCTTTAAAAAGGAAAAAAAAAAAGAGAAGAAAAATGAGTTTTACCAGTTAGTAAATGAAAAATAAATTTTTTTGGAGACGTTTTTGCTATAGGGTACGTGTGCTTGCCAGAGAGACAGAAAGAGAGAAATCACCCCCAAGGGGGATGGCCATGCCACAATCCCTTCTCCATTTTCCTCCTGGGATCTTGGCATGCACACACACACACGCGCCTGGCATAAGTTTAAGTCACCAGGTCCAGGACTCGAACCATGGTCAACTACATGAGTCCAGCGACGTAGCCATTACACCTGCTGGCCCCAGTAAATGAAATCTTATCTAAAATTCACACCAAAATTATGAACAAGTCTTATGTTTAAAACTGATGGCAGATACTTTACTGGGAAAGCCAAAGATACTGAGACAAAATCTCGATTCACTCGGAAGTTAATGAACAATACTGTTTCACACTTTAAAGAATAAAAGCTATCAGGACCAGCAGATGGCATCATGGTTACATAATTGGATTCCCATGTAGTCAACTGTTGTTTGGTGGCTTAAAATTCTTACTGGGCATGTGTGCATGCAGGCTCAAAATCCTGAGAGGAGAATGGAGATGGGGTTGGGACATGGCCACCTCTCTGGAGGGGGGGTGGTGATTGCTCGCTTTCTATCTCTTGTTTCTCAGGCAAGCGCATGCACCCTATAGTAAAAATCTCTCTTAAAAAACAAACAAAAAAAATACAGGCTGAAAACATGTCATTGAGTATTTACGGTTCACAGTGAAAACCAATACCCACAACCACTTCTGACCTCCTCATTTTTAGTTTCTCCATTTTCTGCAGGTAAATCTTCTTTAGTGTCTCGGTTGGCCACTTCAGCCTGTTTCCCCTTTTGTGACCTTTTCCCTTTTGTTTGAACTCTTTTGTCTGAAGATTTATCCTACAATAAGACAAGAAAATACTTCAAGTTAATACTTACTTAACTTACACTAAACTTACATTTTTTGACTTGACAAAATACATACCTACAATAGCTGCCACATTAACTGTATTATGTACCCACAGGTAAACCCTAATTACTTAGACATGCCTTTTACATGAGAAAACTTAAGGTCCACTCCCTGTAAACATGACAACAGTATGTACCAAGGAGAAATGTATTATTAGTATTTGCCCAAGTTCCACTAGGCATATAGTTAAACCTACAGCCTCAGCTATATATCACCAATGTTGCCATCACCCATTATTCTCTCAAGGTCCACAACAGAACAAGTAGATAGAATAGTTGGAAGAATCTCTTCCCATTATAACCTTACCAACCCCCAATCTCTTTTAAGCATGAACACTAATCAAACTATCAAATAACTACTGACAAAATTTTTACTCTCACATTAAGACCATTCACCTGAAAAAAGCACCCTGTTGTATGGTCAAGTTGACTATTCTGCTACAGTTAATCATAACATACGATGAGTAGCTAAAAGGATCAATTTTGAGTTTATCATTTTCATTTAGGTGTTTGCAGAATCTGAGAAGCACAGGTATTAGAATGACAAAATTAACTTGAAATATTGTTTAAGTTTTGAGCCATTTTAAAGCAACATAAACATTATTATGGGATAACGCCAACCAATGGAGAAGTTCTCAAAAAGTTCAATACAAATTTAACATTTATTCCCTGTAAATAAAGTAGCAAGAGGTAAATTAAGTTAGATCACCAGCCTGCTGTATAGCAAAGATCTATATGGGTTGATTTAAAAGGCCATAAAGACATAGCCAGACCTCACCAATTCAATGTTAACAAAAAAAATCCATCAATTCAAGTTATTCACTATTGGCAATAGCATTCACTATACAATAGCAGGATGACTACACTTAAAAACAGCAAACTATATAAACAAATATATTTGGGGCCTCATTGCTACAGAAATTTCTATTATAAGTTGCCACAACTTAAACACTGTTTTTAAAATATTTTTTATGAGACATTTTTGTTGTAAGGTATGTGCACTTGTCAAAGACAGAGATAGGAAATAAGAAATCACCCCCCAGGGAGGATTGCTAAACCACGGTCTCTTCTCTATTCTCCTCAGGATTCTGGGCACACACACATGTGCCCAGTGTTGAGTTTTGTTTTTTTTTAAGAATTATTTAATTTTACTCATTCATTCATTCATTTTAATTTGACCACACACACACACACACACAC